TACTACTACTACTACTACGACGACGACGACGACGACGATGACGACTAACGATAATATTTTCTTTCAATTTCTGACGAAATTATCACCAAATTTGGATGGGTAATGAATTATTGAGACACAAGATATTCTTAACGTGTCTAATTTATTCTCCTAGATTCTCTGGTCTACTAGGGAACTATTCATCCCACCTTTTCACATAGGCATTTAACTGAGCCTACTTCAACTGAAATGAAGTGAGACGATTTGAAATCCAAGTAGCGATTCGAATGGGAAGGTTTCCTGTAGACACTAGTCTCTCAACTTCCATCTTGTATTCGCCTAATCTTGCAATCCAACATTTGCTACCTCACCTTCATCACTTTCTACGTCACAGGTGAGTTGGATTGCATTCACCACTGGATTGATATGTGCCAAGAACCTATTGATGTCTTTCGATTTCGGTTCTCTACACGTATCATCTACATATCGGAACGATATCTTAGTGGTGGGACTGAGTGTTTGATTGGCCATCTGTTCGCAACTATTCATAAATATGTCTGCGACGATAGAGGATGTTGACTATCACATGGCTAACCATTCAGTTTACTTATGTGTATTTTATTTTGAAACTTAAGCAGTGTAGATGTCAGTCACAGTCGTACTCCAAACATCATTTCCTCGATCAACACCGAATTCGATGTGTGCGCTCATTGTCATCCTTAAGTTCATTTCTAACTGACTCTAGAATCATGTTGATCGGTATATTCGTGTAAAGGCTAGTTATGTCAAAATTATCCAATTTTTCACTGTCATCTAAGTGTATGTCATCTAATCTATGCTTTAAGTCATGAGAGATGGTGTGTCGAGATTCTGATTGATTTGTAATTGGGCCTACCACCACAGCTAAATATTTAGACAATTGGTAAGTTGGAGTCTTTGTAAATCCTACTAAAAGCCTGATGGGGTAACTCGGCTTATGAATTTTAACAGTAGTATGCATTCTACTAGGATTATTAGTTTTCGACATTAAATGAAAGCATTTTGAGTTGCCTAGAAACTGCTTCATTCATCGTATCAGGTCGTCGTGTTGATTTCTTAACCCTATTCATGATAGTATTCATTGATTTCTTAATTTCCTCATATGATCCAGTTTCTATATGCTCATTCACTTTATACACATAGATTTCTTCATTACAGCTGTTTACTTGCCTTTATCCTATTTAATAATTACTATATTATTATCCACAATGACATCTCTCTGCCTCCTGTATTCCTGAGATGACTTGAATATAATTGTTTTTCTAACCGTTTAGGGATATGCTTCACCACCTTATATTTCATATTTCGATTACTCCTCCCAAGGTAAATTGATGTACGCTGCATCATGTGACGCAATCACTTATGAAGTGTTGAGGGTTATTTTAAAGTATGCGTTTCATTTTCTCTAAAATACTGAGTATGACTTTAAAGTATATCCTTTTAACAAATGAAATAAGCCTTCGTCTTAACATGTACGAGTAAAACGTGAACACTGTATTAGATTGTATTTCCATTTTAATATGCTTATTAGAAATGTCACATAATGAAGGAGCAGTATCATTCACCTGATAACGACGATTCAGATACAATTTATTGTTTAAATTCAAATCAGGTAACTACTATTTCATTATTTTTCCCTTTGGTTCCTAGTGGAACACAGAGCTTCAGTAGCACATCACCATTTCGCTCACTTCCATGTCAACCTCGCCTCAGATGCTCAACTCATCACTTTCCCTTTTGGGTCTCACTTGATGCCCTGGCCTGACACTTGATGTCCCAAAATGGTCTTCTCAGTATGTTCCCAATCCATCTACACTTTCTTGTCCTACATATTTATTTGTTGGCCGATAAGTTCTCGCTTGGTTACTTGCCAGCCAGAGTGACTTCCTTCTTACTCATTCTTACTGTTCTGGCCATCTGATCTTCAGTATCGAGCCAGCGTAGATGGCAGATGTTCATGAATGTCTGTAGTTTATTGGAAATGCTTTTCATGACACGCCAAGTTTCTGAAGCATATAGCAGTACAGACTTGACATTGGTGTTGAAAATGTGGATCTTGTTCCGCATGCTGAGTGCAGTGTAATGCAGTAGATCGCTACACAGATTTCAGATTATTGAAAGCCTGTCTTACTATTGCGATCCTGGTTAGGATCTCCTCATCTGTGCCTATGCTGCCTGTAGTTGAAATGATGCTCCCTGACTAGGTGGGTGAAAGAGACCACTTTCTTTATGTTTTTCTTGTTCATAGTCATTGGTGCCTCTTATTGTTGATGCTATTGTTGGTTGGGGGCGTTTATCATTTAAATGACTAATATTCTCAAAATGAAAATGAATTCAATGGCCTATTCCGTAGAATTTTTTAATTTCCTCCTCAACTTTATCAATGTATATGGGATTCCTAGATGTCACATCTATGTTTACTAATGTCTCTCTAATGGAAATCATCGATTATACTTGTAAGCAGTTAGTGGAAAAGAAATTAGACAGTGACATTCTACTTATGAATATGAAGAAGCTTTTGGCTTAAATGTCAAATTGATAGAGTGATTATGGGATCTCTAATCGATCGAATATTTGCGGACATATTTTTTTAGGCAAAATTAGTAAGTGGTACTTTGAAGCATTGAATTGCTGATATGAAGTTGTATTGTCGATACACAGATGATACCTTCTTAGTCTTTGATAGGTGTATATGTATTAATTCTATTCTGAACCAGTTCAATAGCGCTCATTCATCAATTCATTTTATATATGAAAATAAAAACAATGATTCCATACATTTTCTTTATGTGATCATGATAGGAAAGAAAGATAGCTGTATACAGTGAAACAGCATATATAGAAAACTAACGTTTAAGGCACTGTATATAACATTCTCTCAGCTTTGTACCAACGAAGTACAAACGTAATATAATCAGGTACCTAACTTTTACAGTAAGATCGATTCATTCCAAGGAAAAACAATTACTATTTATCCGTGATATCCTATATAAGTGAAAACATATATCTGGATGAGTACATCAAAACTGACATCAACTACATTTGTCCTAAACAAAACTGATGACACTGGAGAAGAAGTCTTTGTTTCTGCGATTACAATTCGAAAGGAGAAGCTCCAAGTGATATTCTATCACAACGCCCAGCTAGACCAGTCAGTAAGACGCTCAACCTAAGACTAAAGGATACCCTGCCTAATCGTAGCCCTTCATCTTGTACATATCAATTTAACCATTCCTATGGAGTTAGTTATATAGAGCGTATGATTAGCCAGGTGTGTCTCCGGCTACAACAGCGATTATGAGCTTGGTGCTAGTGCACCTAGTCAACACAAGACATCACATAAATGCCAGTTCCCAAAACGATACTACATGTAGCCCACTAACATAGAGGAGGTTGTTGCAACAAAGTTGATTAAGCCTGAACTCTGCATTCAGAAAGAACATTTCCAAGCGTTACTTTTCTCATTGACCTTCAGCTAACTAAAGGCCACTCCTGTCATCTTATTCATCATCTTCTTGTTCACCGTCATATCACTCATCTGCATGTGTATCATCCAAATATTGACTAATTTAAAAAAGATAAGTCAATTTCTTTACAATCCCGAATTCTGAGTCCATTTTGGAAATGTACTTAACCCTAACATGGCTTGTATAAATGGAGTTTATAATTGTAGAACCTTATGAAAGAATTTTACTGAGAAGAACATTCTTCCTTCAGATTGCTGCTTTTTATGAAATACTTTTTGTGATAGTCTATCTGTTGGTTGGCAGTGGAATTCAGGATATGCGTTCCGTCCTATTTGAATGTATACCAGCCTCTTATCGAGAAGTGTTATCCCCAATAAGACTCATGCCCAAAAGCTATCGTTTCACCTGTCAAAGAGTTACTTAATGAGTAACTGGGGCACGTGGGCCACCCGTCTTCCAACACTTAAGGTGTCAATAGAAGGGTAATTTTAAAGGCTTAACATAGTTTTCGTAAGCGATAGTCATTTACTAGATGACTTTTAAAAATTTATAGGATCGTTAGACAGCCGTTTCGATCTAGTCTTCAACTCCCTAGCAGAACACACTTCAAATCTTACTAGTGATATTGCCCAACGCCTTCAAGTTTTATGGAGGTCATGTTATTGTTCAGCGCCTGTGTTATAATGTGGTTTTCCCTATTCTCCTCTTTTATCTGTACTTTCCGGTATCTGACCATATAATGATTGTGAGGCTGAGTGTATGCATTAAAGCAGCCGGCGAGGTCAGTCAGAATAGCAGAGCACACAAATTTAGAAAATTCAGATAAAATTCTAAAATACAATATGGAAGGACAGTTTGATCATTGAAATTCTAAAACCTAACACACACATGCAACAGGAATGATTCCTCTGAGATCGCAGATACCTTGAAAAGTTTACTACTACTAATTCTAAGATAAATGAATGAACAACTGCTGAACAATAATATAAGGGAAGTATGAATATGAGCAATAAATTGTGCTCAAAACGTCCCCATCCAGTAAATAACAGTGAATCACTACTGTGTGCTTGTTATATCAAGTAATCCCAATGGAATTTCTTCAGGATTGATTACTTTTAAGGTGATTCTTATCACGAATTCCTACTAATAAATAGGCCCCTACAAACCACCACCTCACGTATCCTCCTCATTATAAATATATTTACCATGATTACTATGAAATTGAAACGACAGATAATGTCAAGGCAACAGAAACCGGTCCTTTTGGTCCACTCATCAACGATGAAATACGGTGAGCTATCATCGCTCAGTGGCTCAATGGATAACACTCCGGCGTTTGAAGCGATCGGTCTTAAATTCGAGTCATGATAGGATCTGGATATATCCTCCTGAAGAGTTTTGAATAGGATAAGACGTGCATTATTTTTGGACCCCATTATTAGCCAATATGCATCAATCTTATACTTATCATTATTTAGCAAAATGATTATTATACATAGGTTCATCAATACTTACCACTAATTGATTGGAAGATACCAATTCCCTTTCATGAATATGATTTCCGGTAACTAGGCAACATTTTGATGAGTTCATTATTGCATTCTGGTAGTTTGTAGTTAGATATGGAGTAATAATAGGGACTGGTACAAGTACTGGCATTGGAAGTGAATAGGGCATACCAGCTGATTGATTTGTATATGCATAAAAGTGACTAGTAGTATTCATCTGGGAATAATTTAAACTAGTACTGTCATCGGAACTGATATCCAGAATTCTTTTCTCAGTTGAAATCCCCGCCTTCGCCTGCGTTTCCAATTCTTCTCCTTCTTCTTTTTTTTCTTTCTCTGACACAACAACCATATTGTTTGCCTCCCTAATAGGATTGTACTGATATGTTGCGTATCTATTGTTAACCGTAACGATGTTGTCAGTTGATGTATACTCACTCTCCTCATTCTCTGTAAGCTCTTCATTGATTATGATATTACGATTAGCATGTTGCCAAGAAATATTTTTAGGTTTCTGTTTATATCCAATTTGTTGGAAATAATTTATCCTTTGCTGTTTACCACTATCGATATGACTACTACTGATATTGTTGCTAGTAGTATAACTATGCTTATTGTTAGTATTTGTAGTAATGGTAGGCTTAGACAATGAATATTGATTTCCAGTTGTCCACTTATTTAATTCGGCCAGGATTTATTCTTTCTTACATGAAAAATCTTCAAATACATAAATGTATATATATAGAGAGCTTGGTAAACAGATGAACCAATAAATAAGTGAATTTGTTATTATATTGATAAATATATTTGGAATGAAGTAAATTCTATAGACCCTGCATATTCATATATATATATATATGAATACAAATTTATTTATAGCGCCTGTATGGTGTGAATAAATGATCAACACTTTTTAATGTCAATAATATGAATAATTTAATGCTCAAAGCAGTCAAGGCCTTTAGCCTTTGACTAGCCAATCAGATAAGAGAGGATGATTGGCCAATTAAATTTCGGTAGTTGTCAATGTCCTCAAAAATCTCAACTGACCAATCACAATTAAGCTACGTATATCATAATTAAACTAAAAATAATGCGAAGCATTTGGAAAGAGTGTAAAAAGACACTCAAATTAATGGGTCCAGAAGTTAGTAACTTTACAAGTTAGAAATAAAACACCATACGAGTTTCTTCTCGTTCATATATAAGAGGGAAATTAACTTGTATACCTAAAATAGTAAATCGAGAAAACTCTATCACTACATTCCAAGCTGTCATGGAAAACATTGATTTTTACTGAGAACATTTAAGATGACTATGGTTTGGTTGATTAAAATTGTAGATACCAGAGTTTAAACCAAAGGTCTTCTGTTTACCAACCTAAGTGCTCCTAGCCAGATTCCTTCTGCAAACCAAGATTTCATGCCACCTCTAGTTACCATCTCACACAGTGTGTGTGAGATTATATGAGATGTAGTTAACTAGGCTGTATTGGAGCAGATAAACCTGTAGCTGCTAACCTTGAGACTCTCTGATTGTTATTTGAAGGTCAAGTGATAACTAGTTAACCCAGCTCATTTTCTGACAAGTTGCTCTTGTTCCTCAATGTACGTATCATTCAAGAAGGTTACATTTGTATTACCGACCTTGTTCCAATGAATGGTGTGAAACTTTCAAAAATTTAATTAAATTTCGGGTGTTGTTTCTATATGATAGCTCGAAAATCTCCTTGATTGATTGGACTCAACTAGTCAGCTACTATTAGCATATCGCCTTCTTTGTGAATGCCTTAATATTGTTGGTATTTTTCACTTTGACTGGTAGTAGATTCCAAGATGTATGTTTTGTTCTATTGAGGTCTGACTCGACAGCTGGATGTACACTTACCTCTCAGTGAGTGATGACTGACTTTGAACAATTTACCTTATATAAAGGTTGATTACAGTGTTCTTTTTATTCTTGCATCTTGCACTTGTGGTAACCAAATAATGTGGGCCTAGTTGAGCTATGTACCCTAGCTGGTTCCACCGGGAAAACAGAAGGCTATATACATTGATGAAGTTATCTTCTGAGACTATATGAACACATGTTGAAATCACTATCAAATCTTTTCTTTTGTACTGTTGACAACAAGGTTGCTACTTGGTGACGACTGAAGATGAAATAAAAATTAAGTCCTCGCCGGGATTCGAACCAGAGTCCACTGGGTTTCCGGACCAGTCCTCTATCAACTGGGATGCGGGTGCCGACTGCTGACTAGATTTTTATTTCACTTCGATTAACAAGAGTTTTGACCAAGACTGCCATGTGAATTCGTGACGCGTTAGCACAATTTCGTCGTACTCACACTGCCTGCCTAGTCAGGACTTTTCATCTCAGTCAGAAACTAACAGAATAAGTTAAGTGGGGAGCATCATATTAACTATCATTTTGACTATCTAAGATAGCCGTGGCTTGGAAGACTTGTGATCAAAGTTGGTAGAGTACCACATCAGAACCCGGTGGTCGCTGGTACAAGTGCCGCCATAGTGTAACTTTTCATTTTACCTTCATTCGTCCCCCAGTACCAAACAGTCGTTCATTTCCCTACTATCCGTTGTAAATTTTAGGAGACAAAAACATTTCATCTGGGGGTTTGTAGAGGTTTCTTAATTGATTTTAGGTTGGAATTCATCATGGACTGACATCAGTTGGAGGAACACTAGAAAGCTGGGAGCACAAGAAAGCCAACTGTTTCATTGTATTATTCGACTCCTCAGCAGTGTGCAACCATGACCCTGCTACGGATCGAACCAAGTAGCTTCAAGTTCCGTGGCCACTGGGTAGGAGTCCAATGAGCCATGGCGGGGTCATGGGTCTGCGCTGATGACCAGTCCCGTGCTGGGATGGAGCATCTGTCCACTGCTGCAAGGTTTCGAATCTTCCTTCAACTAATGTCAGTTCATGATGAATTCCAACCTAAAATCAATTAATAAACCTCCGCAAACCTCCAGACAGAATTAATCTAGCGCTCATTGATGATCAGCTTCGAGAGGTGATTCCCGAAGTTCCAATGAGAAGTCGTGACGAGTGGAGTCAAGCAAGTGGAACCTGAGGATAGTTACTCAACGAAGACAATGGATGTAGTTCGCGCTATATCGTGAACTGAAAGAATACGATTGAAACATGGACCACTGGATTCTGACCCAGTGGCCCAATGGTAACGTGCTGGCTACAGAGCTTGAAGGACCGGGGTTCGGTCCCGGGTGGGGAAGGGTGATGGATGCGCACTGCTGAGGAGTCCAATACCAGGACGAAACAGCTTCCCAGTGCTCCCAGCTCTTCAATCTTCCCCTACGTTCTGTCAGTCCATGATGGATTTTAACCAAGAGAAAACATTTCATTTATAACCTTTTCTGCTTACGCGTTATGGAAGAAAATCCAAGCCAATCTAGAATGGTAGACGGACTACATAACTCACCTTGAAACATCACTGAGTGAAATAAACTGCAGCTGAGTAGTTTAGTGGGAATACACGGAAACTAAACACAACAAAATAACATTCTAATTACTATTTCCTTCAACCAGCCCACTCACCACGTGAGGGAAGTTAAGATTAAGTAAAAAGTATTCAGCAAGAAAGGCAAGTCAACGTATGAGGTTGTGATCTTACATTGACTATGGTGGCTTGGAGGTGTGATGTTCCTGTTGACTCACCGTTACCCACTCCAATTTTGTAATGTCAGCTGAAGTAAGATCGGACTGGAATGGGGCTTAGAGTGGTCAAATCACCACATGATACTAGTTCGTGAAGTACCTAACTATTGGTGTGAATCGCTTAGGGAGATGTAGACTACTTATTTAGAGTCCATGAAACGATAAGACTCAATGGTTGGGGACTGTTAGTGATATCATTGAAAATAGATTATTATTTGATGACTTCTGATGCTGAAACATTTTCGCTAACCTTCATTTTCCAGCTGCTTTCTCTGCCATACACCTTTAATTACCTTGAAATCCGTGTTTCCTAACGACTTGTTCTTTACCTTCTGTTCCTAAGTGTGAAAACTTGAAATGATACACCTCTTTACAAGATTCTACAAGGATTCCATCCGTCTTTCTGCTTTCCAAGGCTGAAAACACTAAGGTTAGATTGCTTACTGTTCTTATCTTTATGCTAAACAGCAGTATGAAGCTACGTATCTGAGATATATGTACTATTGTTAGATGATAACGTCTACTTTCTTCTATAGTTAAATACATATCGACGCAGCCTGACTAACTCCAAAAGAGAATGCCATTCAAAGCAAAATATGCCTAGGATTATTTCACTTATTGAATATAATATACATATATATTCATCTATACGTTTCTGACGAAGCATGAAGCAAACGAATCAGTAAACGTTTTAGCTGTCTCTTTCTTACTACTGACTAAAGCTTATCATTCAGTCACACAACCCTATGAAGAACTATGCTTAGGTATCAGTCGATAAGTAGCCAGTATGATGACTAGTTTCCATACTTACCGCACTTGTAGAAGGGAACTTGTCGTGATGTGACTACTGAGAGTTTTAATCTTCAAGGGAACATACATTCCCTCAGGATCATTTATATACACTGCTTATGAGTATCGATTGATACGAAATCTAAGTAGATTATAGTATACAGCAGATCACCACTTAACTTGTAATACTAAAGTACATTTAGTCAAAGTGCATTCTGACTTCTACATAGGAATTCAGTGGTTTGTCAAGAATCTTGATAAAAATGCCGCGTATATCAGGTGTGCCTTTTTCGACTATACTTCAGGATTTGATTCTCTCCCAAAACCTCGTTTGCTAGACAAGCAACATGAGACTAATATTGACTTCTGGATAATCAGCTAGCTGCATACCTATTTCTGTGAAAAAAACATCATACTGTTCACAGAGAGAAGCGCTCCACCTCATCGCTTACTGTGATTGGTGTGCCCCAGTGAGCCGTCCGTTCTGTATGACTTACCATCTTCAACTAGTACCAATTTCATCAAATATGCTGATGGCCTAACAGTTTCTATATCTGTCTCTTCTTCAATAGATTGTTCCCAACTGATTGACTTAATATCCACTGTCAGACGATAGTCCTCCATGATTGGTCTTGTGCTTAATTCTTCACAATGTCTGACTTTAAAATTCAGTTTGAGACTTGAATATAGCCTGTGTAAGCTGTTTAGTTGTCATGATTCTTGTTCTGTTGATAGTTGTGCATTAGAGAATGTTACAAGTGTGATTTATCTCAGTGTGTGTTTTTCTTCGGACCTTTCCTGGTACTCGCATATCATACTAATTTGTAAAAGAATTTTCTGCCTAAATTTTTATATTAGGAAGCTGAGAATATCTGATATAACTCAGCCTCTCCTCTTGTGTTTTATAAACTCCTACATCTTACCTGCCCTCCTCTATTGCTCCCCTTTATTTTTTCCCAGGTTCCTGAGAAAAGACTATGCTATATTGCATAGAACTTTGAAGATTGTCAGCAGAACTAGTGGTGTATTCTTATACCTTCTAGTTGAAATTGTTGTAGACAAACATATTAACTCTGACAGGAGTTATTTTATCAGATGATCAACACCCTATTCACTCAAAGTTCTCTGTGTATTGGTCATCCAGAAAGACAAGATGAAAGTACACATGAGTTTATGCACTTACTACAAAATATAAAAACTCTGCAATACATATTGTGTTTAGCTCATCTGCTGTGTGATGAAGAAAGTATCAGAAATCAACTAACACTAATCAACTTCTATTTTCCTGAAGCAAACTAACTGAAGATGAGCGTGTTACCTTTTACATATTGTGAATCTAATTGCCTATGTGATTGTGTACCACATAAATTAACTGTGGATTTTCAAGAAAGTTGTAGATAGAGTAAGTAGTCTTGTATTCTTTCGATGTAATTTACACTTATTTTGTTTTCCTATGTATACATGTACAATGTCACTGTCCAATCAATGTTATATGACGTGCTGAAAATTCTGCAGAGTATTCCCGAAATAGCTTTCAGTAAACAATGAGGAGCGAGAAGATGGGCGCACGCTGGACAGCTGGAAAGAGCCTAGAAGATTTGCATTTCGCCCATGATGATTTATGTCTAGTGTCTTGCCGCACAAACTCGAAGATCTACAAGTGAAAACTAACAAGCTGGCAGAAGAGGGAGAGAAGACGGGACTTTAAGTGATTGTAGAGAAGACGGAGGTGATGAAGATACCCAACCAACAACAGTATCAACAACAAAAACCAACCATCATTAGTGGGAGAAACCTAGAGGAAGTAGTCTCTTTCACCCACCTAGTCAGGGAGCATCATTTCAACTACAGGCAGCATAGGCACAGATGAGGAGATCCTAACAGGATCGCAATAGTAAGACAGGCTTTCAATAATCTGAAATCTGTGTAGCGATCTACTGCATTACACTGCACTCAGCATGCGGAACAAGATCCACATTTTCAACACCAATGTCAAGTCTGTACTGCTATATGCTTCAGAAACTTGGCGTGTCATGAAAAGCATTTCCAATAAACTACAGACATTCATGAACATCTGCCATCTACGCTGGCTCGATACTGAAGATCAGATGGCCAGAACAGTAAGAATGAGTAAGAAGGAAGTCACTCTGGCTGGCAAGTAACCAAGCGAGAACTTATCGGCCAACAAATAAATATGTAGGACAAGAAAGTGTAGATGGATTGGGAACATACTGAGAAGACCATTTTGGGACATCAAGTGTCAGGCCAGGGCATCAAGTGAGACCCAAAAGGGGAAGTGATGAGTTGGGCTTCCGAAGCGAGGGTGACACGGAGGAGGTGGTGTAAGGAAAAAATGAAAGCTTATTGGCAGTCGTGGAGTCAGGTTCAAAAGACTGCGGAGAACAGTGTGAAATGGAGACGTGTTACTGAAATCCTATGTTCCACTAGGAACCCTAACCCTAAACTGACTGTGTATTTTAAAGAAAGTTGTAGATACAGCGGATATTTTTATCCTTTCTTTATGTGAGTTTTTACTTATTTCACTTTACTATGTATACATGTACAATGTCTCTGTCCAATTGATGATATATGATATGCTGGAAATTCTGCAGAGTATTCCCGAAATAGCTTTCAGAATAAAGACACCATTATTGTTGTTAATGATGAAGACAACAGATAAATGGAAGTAAAAAAACAATTGATATGTTACATTACAATAACTACCCTAAGAAAGTTATTCAAAAAAGGTTTTAAAACTATGAGGAGAAGAATGCTGAATGAAAATCAGATGATTAGTCTTGGATTAAGTATAGTGGTTCTACCGTTCTCTCAAAGTAAAAACTGACCAGCTACAAGGAGTTTTGTGTAAATACTGAACTAGAGCCTTCTAAAAGACAATCAAGACAGTGAGAAAAGATGAAATTCCTTTAATCTCCACACATAATTGTATGTCCACAGATTAAGTTGTGCTGACTGTGATGCTGATTACATGCAGTATTCATCCTGTGAGATCCTGATTAACGCTGGACACACAAGTCACACTAAACGACCTTAAAATAATCCCATAGAACTGGAGAATTTACAAATCAAATCGATAATCGTTGTTCACTTCATCTATCATAGTCACAAAATTGTCAATGGAAATCTTAAAACTATTCAGAGAGGAATTTCAGACTACAAGGAAAGATGGAAAGCTGAAGTATTTTAAACATTTTCTTAAATCGTAATATACTCAACAGAAAAGAAGGCGTAACTATTCAACCAACCTGAATAGTATGTCCGAAATAACACATTACCCACACTAATTAAAGTATCTACACTCAAAAGTAAACTGAATTCTTTATATGTAGTAATTTTCTCACATCTTCACACCTATTCACCTATGTACATACTTATTAAGATCATCACCTTGAACTCACAGGCTATGAACTGATAACTCAGACATTTATCCCCATATTATTATTATTATGTGTGAACAACATGATCTCTTTTTTGAGGTGGCGGTTACGATTCTGACCCACTGGCTCAATGGTAACTCGCTGGCCGCGGAACCCGGAGGTGGCGGTTTCGATCCCTGGTGGGGTCGTGGGTGAGCACTATTGAGGAGTCCCATACTAGGACGAAACAGTGCCTCAGGTTTCCTTTTTTCCCCAGTTGATGTCAGTCTACGATGAATAACAACTTGAAATGATCTCTTTTGTTGTAAATACTTATTGAAATATACAATATATAGTACAGGTTTTATTCTCTGAAAGAAACGGCTTCTACAAGGTCATGAAGTGTCAAATATTTAGTATTTTCCTACCTTAGGGTAATTTTATCAATATATTTCCTTTAAGAAAAGTATATATGGACTTTACACTTTCTCGTAATCGGTCGTTGTATAAATTTGACAGTATATTCTTCAATCATCCCACATATAATACTAGGAATAGTTTCTTAAGACTGTCTTCACTGAATGTCTTCTTAGAAAGCTGTTCACCTGAATGAACAATTAGTGTACTAAAGTTTTGTAGAATATCTGCCGAAATTGTATAACTACATGAAGGGAATTTGTTTTACTGTTCTGAATAAAACAAGCAGGAAATTAACAACATTCATAATGCCATTGAAGTTATTTATTACATTCCTTCTAACCTCACCGATGCTCTACGAGTTCGTCTTTTACATACAGCAGAAGCCATAGGAATCCACCTAAACAAGTCAAGTCTATGTGTTCAGAAGAAATGCGTACAGTCTCTTTCTTTGCCTTGGCCATCTGTATAGCTTATTTATTACAACAAGACACTTCATTTCATTCATTCCACAAATGATTATAACTAATATTTTAATAGTTCCATTATTATTATTATTATTATTGTTATTATTATTATTATTATTATTATTATTATTACAGTTTTAGCCATCTTCTTCTCCCCCTACTATCTCTAATTACCGTGAACAATTTACCACTTTACGTAACAGTTCATTTTTGCGCTTTAGTTACCATTATAACTTAATGATTTCATGTGACGTTTCATCTCTTTTTACTAACATTCCTTTAATGGAGACAGTAGACTTTATTTGCAACGAACTCACGAAGCATGGCATAGAAATCGGTATTTCTGTCTCCATATTGAAAGAACTACTTCTGAGGTAGGTGTACGATGAATGCAAAATTTCTTTTTAGCAATGAACTCTACCGGCAATCTGATGGTGTTGCTATGGGGTCACCCCTTGGCCCACTCTTAGCAGATTTTTTTCTGGCGAAATTTGAG